CTACAATCAGATAGCACTGCATTTCTATACACAGCATTCACGTCACATGACTCTCAGATGAAATCAGATTGTAAGACTTTATTTTCAACTGTTTTCAAGATATATCAATTTAATCATAGTAACATCACATATTCAGATTTTTCAACAATTCAATCAGGAATCTAGGGACTTAACCATTGAAATTTCTTAAGGGCTGACAGGGTTAATTATGTTGCAGAAGGTCAAAGGGTGGGTAGAAACTTTGGCCTTGTAAAAATATTCAACTCATCCACAAAAAAGAAAGGAAAGGGAAAGAAGGCTAGATGCAGCTAAATTTGCAGGCATTGTTTCACATGCATACTGTTGGGGAGTGCCTCAACATGCCTGCAATTAAATAGAACTGTTATTTTGATACACAGCATTCATATGATCAACTAGAAGTACCAGAAATCTATGACTTTTACGAAGTTGTAGATTTCCAAAACCATATCTCATGACCATTAATGCCAAAGAAGCTTAATTTGGTATCATTTGAAAGAGAAATAAATTTACTCTTAGAGACAAATCAATATTAAACTTTTTGTGGTTTTTTGGATATATCTATTTATTATATATATATTTAGATGTTTCAACATTTCATTCAGGACTTCAGGTACTTAACAGTTGAAATCTTTTAAGTGGCCAACAGAGTTAAACATTAAAAGTATTGTATTTGCATGTCTCAGACGTAGAGCAGTGGAATAAGAGATATAATGGCTGAAACTATAACTTGTGGTTAGATTAGTTAAATATTATTAAGTCCATGAGCAGAAAAATGGTAGACTGACATCCATCACATGGTCAACTAGATGTACCAGAAATCTCCACCTTTACAAAAGTTGTAAATTTCCAAAACCATGTCTCATAACCAGTAATACCAAGGAGGCTAAATTTGAAAAAGAAAACAATTTACTTTCATAAAGTATCCAAAAAAATGCCAGGATATAGCTAACAAACTCTTATTTATGATGTTGACAACATTTAGTTCCTGAAAATGAATGAAACAGACTCTGGGCAATTTATCCAAATTTTGATCACAATGTGCAACAACTTGTTCGAAAATTTAAAAAGGAAAAATTAAACTGTACATTATTTACGTTATTCGAACTATTGTTCTCATCTTTGTTGCCATATTTATCACAACATTTCGGCCATTGTACTCTCTGGCCTTCTTCAGGTGGTTGGAATGTCAAACTGAACCCTTTATTTCACTCATTGGGGTAGACTGTTCTAGTTCCATGTGCCATGTCCAATGGATGTCAGTTATCTCCTGTTAATTCACCTCCAAGTTCTTAACCATGTATTGAACTCTCCTATCACTGGATCTAACCAAAACCTTTATCCATGGTGCCATGTGTCCTTAAGGATGTCTGTGCATGAATTTCTGGGATTTATAAACTTAATGTCTTCAGCAACCATTTTTACCAGTGTTCATATTGCAATTTTTGCTGTTATCATTGCATGTTTTTTTTTTTTACCAGAGCTCATATTGCAATTTTTGTTGTTATTATTGCTTTTCTCTGACACTCCTTATTACTGGTTCATATATATTAGGGTAGGTCAATTTTTAAACTAAATTCTTTGATAAGTCTAGATAGTTGGGGCATGCTATCATAAAACCACACAAAATATTTTACATTAAAATTTTGATTCCTTACCAAATTAATTAATATCTCAGAGATTGTTGTGGTGTTAACTGAAATAACCATGCTAAGTAATAAAGTAAATATAAATCAATTTAAAACCGAGGTTTAATATTTCTTTAAAATACTGGAAAAGATAAACATATAAAATAGTACACATATAATTATGTTATAAGAAATAACATACTTTATAAATTTTACTTTAAAATAAATTATTTATGTGTATTTAAAAAAGGGCAATATTGATGTATTCAAATCACAGGTTATGTTAAGAGCAATCAAAAATTTTTAGTTTATTTTTCTTTCCGAAAGAATTTTTTTCACAATGAATTTAGTAAAACTATACGTAAATCATAAACATGTCCTAATTTATTTTAAGCGATATTTTTAAAGACAAAAAAAACCATAAGTTTCATTTTCTTTCTTTCTTCTTTACTAGGAAAAACATAAATGGAATGTATTTTGGTCAATATTTTGAGACATGGAGTTATAACAATTTTGGATCCAGCTGAAGTCAAGAATGAAAATGACGCACTACCAAAGGTTTTTGGTGCTTTGAAATAGATATAATTGAATGTGACTCACACAGGTTAACCTTGACTGCTGGAGTCGCTACTGATATATAAATTTATACAAAATTTTTTACAACAGTTGTGGGATTTCAGTTAAAACTCAAGCCGGATACTTTTCCTCAAACAATATGTAACACCACAGAATCTTTATCATTTTAAAACAATCTTTTTAGTGAATGTTCCTCTATGGTCGGTAGACTTTATGAATTTAAGCATAGAACTACATTGGCAGCAAAGTCTCATCATTTTACAGTTGAAATGGCTGCTAGATATAACTGTAAGTTCTATGCTAACAGTTTCTTCTGTTGCACTTCTCGCTTGAGGAACTCTTCTGGATTCTTGCTTTCCAGTCAACTTAGATCATCAAACATTTATATGCAACTTCATTCATTATCTTCTGTCTTAATTCTTATTTTGTTTTTTTTTCCTCATATTCTCTAACACTCAGTAACCACTTGCATCTTAGTGGATTTATTGCCTTGCTTAGGGTGAAATGATTAAAAATATATAACATCTTGACTGGGTGCTACCTCCAGGCCAGAGTGCCCAGTCTATCCTGTTATTTAACCCATAGAGGGGAATATGGCTTCATGTCTTTTTCAAGAGTATTAGTGCCCACAAGCCCCGCCCAAAGTCTTCCTTTCTTGTAAACACATACCCTCCACACACACACACACAAAATGTTTTCCTTTCTTGTATACACAAAGCAAAAAAAAGATACTATCTTTTGCCAAGACGTTTCGTTCGTGTTTTTGCTCGTTCTGTCCATTCCTGTTGCTTAAGTTCCTTCTTCTTTTGAACATCCTCATCAAATTTCTTAATTTCTTTCCGAAGAGAACGTACCCTGTTGGTTTAAAAAAAAAAAATAATTTGAAAATTTGTGTGAAATATATAATTGCATTATTTACATGCCCTCATCTTTGTTGTTCTCATCACAATGTTCTGGCCATTGTGTCCTCCAGACTTCATCAGATGTTCATCAATCCAGGTAATCCTTAGGGAATGAAGAGACAAGCACCTGATCAAAGCTGAAAGGCACAACAACCCAAAACGATGTGATAACAACAACAAAGATGAGGACAATAGCCCGCATATAAATAATGAAAGCTCCTCATTCAGTTATGAGTTAAAACATAACTAAAACCAATCATGATAAACAAAAAACAAGGTAGAAAGATGTTGGATAGGTTAGGCATCTAGATATATCAGATATAAAAAATTCAAACTGCCTGTATCTTCAGTAGTCTCTTGATATAGAATTATAATAGACGTTTGTTGCATTTCATTCCTTCACCTTATATGCGATTTAGATGAAATCCTTTCAAAAGGACAAAATTCATAACATAGGATTTTTATTTTGCCATTCAATTACCTATATATATATATATATATATATATATATATATATATATATATATATATATATACTTATAAACATTTATTAGAATACTAAATTTAAAATAATATCAACATGTAACAAACAAGCAAAGCCTGTTCAGATGCTAGTTTACCAATGCTGTTAAAAAGTTATAACAATATTTAATATTTTATAAGTACAATATACTTAGCCTATCTCTATGTTGTAAGCTCACATAGTGACCAAGAGGAGACTGTTTAAATCAGGACAGCACTCACCGCCAAGCTTTCCTTCCTTGCAGCCATCAAATCGCCAATTTGCTTTATATAAGAGTGGAGGTGGGAACAGTATAATTTGACACATTCAAAGTTTACTTACTTGTAGACTTCATTTTCCCTGATTCGTTCTAATTTTTCTTCTTTCCTTTTCCTTGTCTAAAAGAAAAGAAAAAAAAAAAAAAAGGAAAGAAAAGAAAGAAAAGGTAATCATCCACAAAAAAAAAAAAAAAAAAAATTTCCTAAAATATACTCAAATATGGGCAGCCACTATAAATGTTTAAGTAATAAAATCTGTCAGATTAATAAATAAAAATTGATCACTTTATATATATATATATTAATTCTTTATAAAAAATACTTGTGAACACAAAATCTGGTAATTATGTAAAAATATTCAATTATTTCAGCCACAAGGTAAAGATCATTTTAAAATTTTATTTTAATTATTCAGCAGCTTTCTTGGATAGCAAGTGTTCACATGAATTAATAATAATAATAATAAGAATAATAATAATAATAATAATAATAATAATAATAATAATAATAATAATAATAATAATAATAATAATAATAATAATAATAATAATAATAATAATAATAAGAAGAAGAAGAAGAAGAAGAAGAAGAAGAAGAAGAAGAAGAAGAAGAAGAAGAAGAAGAAGAAGAAGAAGAACTGACCTCAATTTTGATTTCTTTTTGAAGAAGTCGTTGAAGAAGAAGTTTTTGGTTTTGGTTGTGTAGTGACTTTCTCCTCTTCCTTGTCATCATCTTCTATCACAGCCTCTTCTTCACCATCATTATCTTCCTCATCTTTGCTGACAGCGAGTCCTGCTGACATTTCAGCCAACCAGGTTTCCTGCAATGTAATTAAATATTCTATTTATCATTAAAAATGTCACATGGTATGGCCACACACAGTAATAGGTAAGCTAGTTTTAAAGAAAGTCATAAAACAGTACATTTGGTTAAAACATTGAATAAGAAATAAAATCAGCATACGTTCTTGTGTATAAGCTGACTTCATTACAGCATGACCCTGAATTATTTTGCATAAATTCTAACCTCACTTGAAAAAAAATTACATGTGTATAGTGCAACTAGTCACTGTAAATTTCATATTTTTAAAACCTCTTTAAAGAAAGGATAAAAGAAAAGAAAGAAAAAGAAAGAAAAAGAAAGAAAAAGAAGAAAAAAAGAAAAAAAAAGAAGAAAAAGAAAAAAGGAAGAGAAACAAAGAAGGAAGAGAAAGAAGGAAGAGAAACAAAGAAGAGAAACAAAGAAGGAAGAGAAACAAAGAAGAGAAACAAAGAAGGAAGAAAAACAAAGAAGAGAAACAAAGAAGGAAGAGAAACAAGGAAGAAAAAGAAGGAAGAGAAACAAAGAAGGAAGAAAAAGAAGGAAGAGAAACAAAGAAGAGAAACAAAGAAGGAAGAAAAAGAAGGAAGAGAAACAAAGAAGGAAGAGAAACAAAGAAGGAAGAGAAACAAAGAAGGAAGAAAAAGAAAGAAAAGGAAGAAAGAAAAAAGAAGAGAAACAAAGAAGGAAGAGAAACAAAAGAGAAACAAAGAAGGAAGAGAAACAAAGAAGAGAAACAAAAGAAGGAAGAGAAACAAAGAGAAACAAAGAAGGGAAGAGAAACAAAGAAGGAAAGAAAAAAAGAAGGAAGAAAAAGAAGGAAGAGAAACAAAGAAGGAAGAAAAAGAAGGAAGAGAAACAAAGAAGGAAGAAAAGAAGGAAGAGAAACAAAAGAAAGAAGAGAAACAAAAAGAGAAACAAAAGAAAGAAGAGAAACAAAAAGAGAAACAAAAGAAAGAAGAGAAACAAAAAGAGAAACAAAAGAAAGAAGAGAAACAAAAAGAGAAACAAAGAAAGAAAGAAAGAAAAGAAAAGAAGGAAGAGAAACAAAAAGGAAAGAAAAGAAGGAAGAAAGAAGAAGAGAAACAAAGAAGAAAGAAAAGAAGGAAGAGAAACAAAGAAGGAAAAAAAGAAGGAACAGAAACAAAGAAGGAAGAGAAACAAAGAAGGAAGAAAAAGAAGGAAGAAAAAGAAGGAGAAGAAAAAAAAAGAAACAAAGAAGAAAGAAAGAAAGAAGAGAAACAAAGAAGGAAGAGAAACAAAAGAGAAACAAAGAAGGAAGAGAAACAAAGAAGGAAGAAAAAAAGAAGAAAAACAAAGGAAGAAAAAAAGAAGAGAAACAAAGAAGGAAGAAAAAGAAGGAAGAGAAACAAAGAAGGAAACAAAAAGAAGAGAAACAAAGAAGGAAGAGAAACAAAGAAGGAAGAGAAACAAAGAAGGAAGAGAAACAAAGAAGAGAAACAAAGAAGGAAGAGAAACAAAAAAGAGAAACAAAAAAGAGAAACAAAGAAGGAAGAAAAAAGAAAAAAAAAGAAGGAAGAGAAACAAAAGAAACAAAGAAGGAAGAGAAAAAAGAAGAAGAAAAAGAAAAGAAGAAGAGAAAAAGAAGGAAGAGAAAGAAGGAAGAGAAACAAAGAAAGAAGAGAAACAAAGAAAGAAGAGAAACAAAGAAGGAAGAGAAACAAAAAGGAAAAAAAAGAAGAGAAGAAAAAGAAGGAACAAAAAGAAGAAAACAAACAAGGAAGAAAAAGAAGAGAAACAAAGAAGGAAGAAAAAGAAGAGAAAAAAAAGGAAGGAAGAGAAACAAAGAAGGAAGAGAAACAAAGGAGGAAGAGAAACAAAAGGAAGAAAAGAAAGAAAAAAGAAGAAAAAGAAGAGAAAAAAAGAAGGAAGAGAAACAAAGAAGGAAGAAAAAGAAGGAAGAGAAACAAAGAAGGAAGAAAAAGAAGGAAGAGAAACAAAGAAGAGAAACAAAGAAGAGAAACAAAGAAGGAAGAGAAACAAAGAAGAGAAACAAAGAAGGAAGAGAAACAAAGAAGAGAAACAAAGAAGGAAGAGAAACAAAGAAGAGAAACAAAGAAGGAAGAGAAACAAAGAAGGAAGAGAAAGAAGGAAGAGAAACAAAGAAGAGAAACAAAGAAGGAAGAAAAAGAAGGAAAAAAGAAGGAAGAGAAAGAAGGAAGGAAAAAAGAAGGAAGAGAAACAAAGAAGGAAGAGAAACAAAGAAAGAAGAGAAACAAAGAAAGAAGAGAAACAAAGAAGGAAGAGAAACAAAGAAGGAAGAGAAACAAAGAAGGAAGAGAAAGAAGGAAGAAAAAGAAGGAAGAGAAAAAAAGAAGGAAGAAAAAGAAGGAAGAGAAACAAAGAAGAGAAACAAAGAAGGAAGAGAAACAAAGAAGAGAAACAAAGAAGGAAGAGAAACAAAGTAGAGAAACAAAGAAGGAAGAAAACAAGGAAGAGAAACAAAGAAGGAAGAGAAACAAAAAGAGAAACAAAGAAGGAAGAGAAACAAAGAAGGAAGAGAAACAAAGAAAGAAGAGAAACAAAGAAGGAAGAGAAACAAAGAAGGAAGAAAAAAAGGAAGAAAAAGAAGGAAGAGAAACAAAGAAGGAAGAAAAAGAAGGAAGAGAAACAAAGAAGGAAGAAAAAGAAGGAAGAGAAACAAAGAAGGAAGAGAAACAAAGAAGGAAGAAAAAGAAGGAAGAGAAACAAAAAGAAGAGAAACAAAGAAGGAAGAGAAACAAAGAAGGAAGAGAACTAAAAAAGAGAAAAAAAAGAAAAAAAAAAGAGAAACAAAGAAGGAAGAGAAACAAAGAAGAGAAACAAAGAAGGAAGAGAAACAAAGAAGAGAAACAAGAAGGAAAAGAAGGAAGAGAAACAAAGAAGGAAGAAAAAGAAGGAAGAGAAACAAAGAAGGAAGAAAAAGAAGGAAGAGAAACAAAGAAGGAAGAGAAACAAAGAAAGAAGAGAAAAAAGAAAGAAGAGAAACAAAGAAAGAAGAGAAAAAAGAAGGAAGAGAAACAAAGAAAAGGAAGAGAAACAAAGAAGGAAGAAAAAGAAGAGAAAGAAAGAAGGAAGAAAAGAAGAGAAACAAAGGAGGAAGAAAAGAAGAGAACAAAAAGAAGGAAGAAAAAAAAAGAAGGAAAGAGAACAAAGAGAAAAAAAGAAGAGAAACAAAGAAGGAAGAGAAACAAGAAAAGGAAGGAAGAGAAACAAAGAAGAGAAACAAAGAAGAAACAAAGAAGAGAAACAAAGAAGGAAGAGAAACAAAGAAGGAAGAAGAGAAGGAAAAGAAAAAAAGGAGGAAAAAAGAAGGAAGAGAAACAAAGAAGGAAGAAAAAGAAGGAAGAGAAAAGGAAGGAAGAAAAGAAGAAAGAAGGAAAGAAGAAGAAAGAAAAGAAAGGAAAAGAAACAAAGAAGGAAGAAAAAAAGGAAGAGAAAAAGGAGGAAGAGAAACAAAAGGAGGAAGAAAAAGAAGGAAGAGAAACAAGGAAGAGAAACAAAAGAGGAAGAGAAACAAAAGAGGAAGAGAAACAAAAGAGGAAGAGAAACAAAGGAGGAAGAGAAACAAAGAAGGAAGAGAAACAAAGAAGGAAGAGAAACAAAGAAAGAAGAGAAACAAAGGAGGAAGAGAAACAAAGGAGGAAGAAAAAGAAGGAAGAGAAACAAAGGAGGAAGAGAAACAAAGGAGGAAGAAAAAGAAGAGAAACAAAGAAGGAAGAGAAACAAAGAAAGAAGAGAAACAAAGAAAGAAGAGAAACAAAGAAGAAGAGAAAAAAGAGGAAGAGAAACAAAGGAGGAAGAAAAAGAAGGAAGAGAAACAAAGAAGGAAGAGAAACAAAGGAGGAAGAGAAACAAAGGAGGAAGAGAAACAAAGGAGGAAGAAAAGAAGAGAAACAAAGAAGGAAGAGAAACAAAGAAGGAAGAGAAACAAAGAAAGAAGAGAAACAAAAGAAAGAAGAGAAACAAAAGAAAGAAGAGAAACAAAGGAGGAAGAAAAAAAAAGAAGGAAGAAAACAAAGGAGGAAGAAAAACAAAAAGGAGGAAGAGAAACAAAGGAGGAAGAGAAACAAAAAGGAAGAGAAACAAAGAAAGAAGAGAAACAAAGAAGGAAGAGAAAAAAGAAAGAAGAGAAACAAAAGGAGGAAGAGAAACAAAGGAGGAAGAAAAAGAAGGAAGAGAAACAAAGAAGAAGAGAAAAAAGAAGGAAGAGAAACAAAGGAGGAAGAGAAAGAAGGAAGAAGAAAAAGAAGGAAGAGAAACAAAGAAGGAAAAGAAACAAAGGAGGAAGAAAAACAAGGAAGAAAAAAGAAAAGGAGGAAGAGAAACAAAAAGAAGAGAAACAAAAAGAAGGAAGAGAAACAAAGAAAGAAGAAAAAACAAAAGAAAGAAGAGAAACAAAAGAAGGAAGAAGAGAAACAAAAAGGAAAAAAGAAGGAAGAGAAACAAAGAAGAGAAGAAAAAGAAGGAAGAGAAACAAAAAGGAAGAAAAGAAACAAAAGAAGAAAAGAAAAAAAAAAGAGAAACAAAGAAGGAAGAAAAGAAGGAAGAGAAACAAAGAAGGAAGAAAAAGAAAAGAAGAGAAACAAAGAAAAGAAAGAAAAGAAGGAAAAAGAAGGAAGAGAAACAAAAAGGAAGAAAAGAAACAAAAGGAAGAAGAGAAACAAAAAGAAGAGAAACAAAAGAAGAAGAGAAACAAAAGAAGGAAGAGAAACAAAAAAGAAGAAGAGAAAAGAGGAAGAGAAACAAAGGAGGAAGAGAAACAAAAAGGAAGAGAAAAAAGAAGGAAGAGAAACAAAGAAAGAAGAGAAACAAAAGGAAGAGAAACAAAGAGGAAGAAAAGAAGAAGAGAAACAAAAAGAAAAGAAAGAAAGGAAAGAAAAGAAGAGAAACAAAGAAGGAAGAGAAACAAAGAAAGAAGAGAAACAAAGAAAGAAGAGAAACAAAGAAAGAAGAGAAACAAAGGAGGAAGAAAAAGAAGGAAGAGAAACAAAGGAGGAAGAGAAACAAAGAAGGAAGAGAAACAAAGAAGGAAGAGAAACAAAGAAGGAAGAGAAACAAAGAAGGAAGAGAAACAAAGAAAGAAGAGAAACAAAGAAAGAAGAGAAACAAAGAAAGAAGAGAAACAAAGAAGGAAGAGAAACAAAGAAAGAAGAGAAACAAAGAAAGAAGAGAAACAAAGAAAGAAGAGAAACAAAGGAGGAAGAGAAACAAAGGAGGAAGAAAAAGAAGGAAGAGAAACAAAGAAGGAAGAGAAACAAAGGAGGAAGAGAAACAAAGGAGGAAGAGAAACAAAGGAGGAAGAGAAACAAAGAAGGAAGAAAAAGAAGGAAGAGAAACAAAGGAGGAAGAGAAACAAAGGAGGAAGAAAAAGAAGGAAGAGAAACAAAGAAGGAAGAGAAACAAAGAAGGAAGAGAAACAAAGAAGGAAGAGAAACAAAGAAGGAAGAGAAACAAAGAAGGAAGAGAAACAAAGAAAGAAGAGAAACAAAGAAAGAAGAGAAACAAAGAAAGAAGAGAAACAAAGGAGGAAGAGAAACAAAGGAGGAAGAAAAAGAAGGAAGAGAAACAAAGAAGGAAGAGAAACAAAGGAGGAAGAGAAACAAAGGAGGAAGAGAAACAAAGGAGGAAGAAAAAGAAGAGAAACAAAGGAGGAAGAAAAAGAAGAGAAACAAAGAAGGAAGAGAAACAAAGAAGGAAGAGAAACAAAGAAAGAAGAGAAACAAAGAAAGAAGAGAAACAAAGAAAGAAACCTAGGAGGAAGAAAAAGAAGAGAAACAAAGGAGGAAGAAAAAGAAGAGAAACAAAGGAGGAAGAAAAAGAAGAGAAACAAAGGAGGAAGAAAAAGAAGAGAAACAAAGGAGGAAGAAAAAGAAGAGAAACAAAGGAGGAAGAAAAAGAAGAGAAACAAAGAAGGAAGAAAAAGAAGGAAGAGAAACAAAGAAGGAAGAAAAAGAAGGAAGAGAAACAAAGAAAGAAGAGAAAAAAAGAAAGAAGAGAAACAAAGAAAAAGAAAAAAGAAGGAAGAGAAACAAAGAAAGAAGAGAAACAAAGAAAGAAGAGAAACAAAGAAAGAAGAGAAACAAAGAAAGAAGAGAAACAAAGGAGGAAGAGAAACAAAGGAGGAAGAGAAACAAAGGAGGAAGAAAAAGAAGAGAAACAAAGGAGGAAGAAAAAGAAGAGAAACAAAGGAGGAAGAAAAAGAAGAGAAACAAAGGAGGAAGAAAAAGAAGAGAAACAAAGGAGGAAGAAAAAGAAAAGAAACAAAGAAGGAAGAAAAAGAAAAGAAACAAAGAAGGAAGAAAAAGAAAAGAAACAAAGAAGGAAGAAAAAGAAAAGAAACAAAGAAGGAAGAAAAAGAAAAGAAACAAAGAAGGAAGAAAAAGAAAAGAAACTGCACATAGTGCAACCCCTATTACTTGATAAAAAAAAACTGATAATAAAAACTTGCACTATACAATAGACAAAGAGGAAAATAGATAAACATTGGTGCAATTACATCTTAGAAACATTTGTTACAATTAAGCACATCCATGGATATATATTTCAATGATTTTATTCAGTAGAAATTTCGTCATTGAATTTCAGGCAAACTAATTCCATTTTTGTTTATCCGCAGCTATAAAAAAAAAAAATAAATAAATAAATAAAAAACACATTTTTTTTGGCTATATCTTTAAAAAAACATCCATAGTGTTTCAAACTGGATTTAGCCACCTTAATGAACAAAAACTGCTTCATTGCACATCATATTATAGCACATATTCATGGCAAGGTCATTAAGAGTTACTTTTTCTCTAAAAAACACTTTAAATTGAGGCAGGGAGAGTAGCCACTGTAGTAAATGAAATTTTTCTTTTAAAATCATTTCACTCAAGCAAGGCAATAAAGCCACAAAAAAAATCATTAGGGAGAGTGGACAATAAAAGAACAGGGATTAAGAAGGCAAAAGATAAGATTGGCATTTTATTTAAATTTTTAAAAATCAAATTTGACTAAGAAGCAAGAACCCAAAAGAGTTCCCTAAGCAATAAGTGCAATAGAAGAGACTATTAGCATAGAACTTACAGTAATATCTAGCGATTACAATTGTAAAATGTTGATGAGACCTAATTGCCAATCTAGTACTACCATTAAATTCATAAAGCCTAGGTAAAAAGGCATAGGGAAGTCATGTTATAGTAGTAGAAAAGTGACTGAAGCAGAGATGTCATGTCAGGACCAATAACATTGTATATTCTTCTTTGGATTTTAATTAAGAAACTCTAAATATATAGCAGGAAAACCAAACCATATGTGACAACAATATTCAAAGCAAAGGCAAGTGGTAGACTTACTGCTCTCATTTAACCACCATTGATAATAGAGTATCTTTTTCTGCCTGCCTGCTGACACGAGACTTCTGGATTGCAACACACTGTGCCTCCTTGGCTTCACATTTTCAACTGATTTGGAATCAAGTGACTACAACTAATCAATAGCTCCATCTACTGCAAGGAAAGTTGGGTCACTATGTTGTGCAGAAATTTTTTTGTGTCAGAGTTCATCTTGCACATTTATAAGTCTACCATTCACCCGTGCATTGAATACTGCTGCCATATCTGGTCTGGTGCTCCTACTATTCATCTTGAGGTTCTGGAAAAAATCCAAAGAAGGGTCTGTAATGCAACCGACTTGGCATCTCAACTTCAGTAACTTTTTCATCGACATGGTGTGGCTTCACTCTTTTCTATAAACATTCCCATGGCAACTGTTCTGACAATTTTTCCCCCCCTGGTGCTCAGACTATATGAATTTAAGCGTGCTACTAGATTGGCATTGAGGTCCGTCCCATCTGTTTACTGTTGAAATAGCTAAATACAACCACCACTCCTACTCAAACAGTTCTTTTTCTTGCACTACCTGCCTGTAGAACTTCCATTTACTTGTTTCCCTGATAAATACAATCTTCAAAAATTTAACTGCAATGTTAATCATCATCTTCTATATTCTTGAATCCTGTTCATCCTTTCCTCCCTCCTCCCTATACTCAGTCTTTTCTCTCACTTCCGCTCCCTGTAACCCCCCTCCTCCACATACTAGTAGCATTCTTCCTTGCTTGGGGTGAAACAAGGAAAAAAAAAGAAAAAAAAAAAAGATTCTGGTAATAAAAATTGTTTAGCACAACACAGATTATATACTTATAAAAGGTTATGATTGTTCTATCTCTTTCTAGAGAGAAGAACTGCTTCAATTTATTCTATAATACACACATGGCTCAGTGAAAGTATCATCATCAGTTCCATGACCGAGTGTAATCTTAAGGTCACTGCACAGATGAGCAGTTGACCAGCTCTCTCCATATATTTCAGTTGCATGCCAATGTCAGAGTCTCTGTAAACGATCTTCGAGCCCAATCAGTGACATTGTCAACCCATTTTTCCTCCGTCTGCCTCTCCTTTTGACTAATTTGGTACCTTGTAGAAGGGCAAAATCAAGATTGTTAGTTTTTATGGCATGCCCACACCATTACACCATTCTCTTCTTGGCAGTGGTCATGAGGTCTTCCAAGAGATTTCTAGGATCATTCCATAGTATCTTATTTCTAATGCTTGGATTCTTTGCTGTAATCTGGCTGTTAATGTCCATTGTACACACACAAGACAACCAGATAACAGCAAGTTGCATAAATGTCTGACCTACAAGGACAGTATCCAAAAGTGAATAAAGGATTATTATATGTATGAAAAATATAGTTTTGTATTCTTTTCAAACATTACATAAGCATTATGTAAATCCTGATCCTTATAATGCTGAACATTACATAAGCATTCTGTTAATTAGATTTAAATCTCTTGAAATCAACATCAGCAAAATTTGGCTCAGTTCTGTAGCAATAAAAAGTTACTAACCTTAGTGGGCGCATTTTCAGCTGTTGGAAACATGGCATCCAATGCTTCATGTAATTTCTTTTGTCTATTTTCTCGTCGTATTTCAATCTTATATGCTTGACCCAATAATTCCTAGAGGAGAAAAAAAACAAAACGTGATAAAATATAATAATCCTCAAGATAGAGAACTAGAAAAGATTATTATAAAAATAAAGACATAATATGTCTGTATTATTTAATGAAACATGTTTCAATAAATATATGCTGCATACATATATGTGTGTGTGTGTGTGTGTGTGTGTGTATGATATAACGATATATAATTTTATATATCAACAGTATTTAGAAAAATAGTATGACAAATTGGAAAAATGTTTTTGTGAAACATTTCATCCATTAGGATTTCATTGGACCTTCTTGAGGTTTCTACAATGTATTCTTTATGGTAATTACTGCAGGTGATAGAGTAAATTCCTCTAAGTTTTGGTTTAAGTCTTTGATTGATTCAGAAAGAATACATTGGAGAAATCTTGAGTTTAAACAAACGACTATATGAACACAAAAGGGGCATTTAAAAAACACCACACAAAATGTATAATGCTCAACATAATGAAACTGACCACAATTTTGACATAGGGAATGTTATTTTGATTAAAAGAGAAAATAATTCATTAAGACAAAAATGGCTGGTAAGTGCCTTGATTGCTAATTCAGCCATGGTAAATTTGCATCCTGGGTCTTACAATATATCACCATTTTCAATAAATTTTCTGTTGTCACAATGTAGGACAAAGGTGATAGAAAGAGGAGGAGGAGGAGGAAAAAAAGAAAAGAAAAAGAATACAGATGAATTTAGTTAGATTAAAAAAATATTCTTTCAAAATTTTGAAACTATCAGCATGTTACTTTGTGCGCATGTGTAGACGTGGCAACATCAATAAAGCGCAGTCCAATGAAATGTATCACAAAAACCTTTTCCCAATTTGTTATACTATACGTGTGTGTGTGTGTGTGTGTAATTCTCAAAATGTGTGAGTGTATGTGAGATCGGTTGTTGTTTATGCGTTTCCACAGTTTTCATCCAATTTTGATGGAATTTTTTTTGTTTGGTAGATAATTTTTCAGTGTCGGTTTTGAGTCCAAATTTGGCTGGAACAAAATTATAACCTCGAAGGTGAAAAATCGAAAAAAAAAACGGATTTTTTACACTTTGCACAAATATCAAAGGCAAAATTTAATGTCTGTAAAAACAGCATACAATCAATTTAGAGAGTTGAAATCTAACGCAAAAGATTAGAATTATTAAAAAAAATTATCTTATAAATAAAAATTATCGTATGACAGTCCATCAAATAGGTTCCTTCCTTGCAAAGTTGAGAATGCAAAAATGGCCCTTTTCAGGACCCCACACAATTCAAATTGTTAATCCCCCACCCCGCCTCAGTTGCACCAAATTGTTGTTACTAATATTAATTTCTGGGTGGGCTGACTTTAAACTTAAACTGCCCCAACTGAACGGCAAAAATTACCAGTAAAGAAACACTTGGTCGAAGACGGGTTATACTGCTAGTGTGTGTGTGTGGAAAATCTTTAAACTTAATGTTTCGATGAGAATATCTTATGCTTTTGGCTTCTCCAAGTTAAAGTGTCTATCCATTGTACAGACATACATACACACACACGTGCACACACAATCTTAATCTTCTCAGTCTCAGGAGACTGAAGTCTATTAGGGTGGTTAACTAATCCCTGTTGCAGACATCTCTCAGGCATATTTGTGTTACTTCAACACCCACAGAACCAACCTGTGGTTTATACTTCAACTATGTTGATTAAACCTTAGTTACAATTTCTCAGAGAACACATAATCTAGTATCAGCACCAGTTTGAACAACTCAAAAACTCGACCACAATGACTGTTGGCTTCTGAATAGTTTAATCTTCCCCCAATTTCACTCAAAAATCATGGGGCAGCTTGTGACAGTTTCCAGACTGAAATTATTAAGCAGTCACTTCCTTGATAAATTGACCATGGTGAAATTCAAACCTGATCCTCATAGTTGGAAGGCTAATATTCTAACCACCCAGCCATGCATCCAGTTCCTATTGAATACTGAAAGAAAGGATTTAGGCCATAGTTGTGAGAAGCACCCAATGAACTCACTATACTATTAAGATAAGCTTATTAATTATTGTGCTAATCTAATTACTTATTAATACTAATTACTGAGCCTCAGGCAAAGATTTAGGTAAAGTAACTGATGAGAGAGAGAACAACTGGTTTTAAAACTTCAAATAGTTGACAGGAGAAATGGATACAAACCAGGGACCAGGATAGAAAAAAAAAATTTTTAACATCAGATATGAACTTTGGATTTGGAGCATATCTAACAGGATCATATCTAGGCAACACAGTAGAAAATATAGATCAAATTTTGTCATATAGTTACATTTTTCTTCATCTGATTTTCTCTACGCCATATTGTAGCGTTATTACAATGGCTAGCTGTAAAATTGGGATAAGCCTTTTTTAATTTTTATTTTGAGAAGAAAAAAAAAAAAAATTGAAAAATATTCAATGTGTATCTCTCTCTCATATATACATATATATATATATAATATATTTAATATAATATATATAATATAATATATATATATATATATAATATAATATATATATATATATATATATAAATATATATATATATATAATATAATATAATATATATATATATATATATATATATATATATATATAAAATGCATTTCTGTAGCTGTTACTTGTATTATCCCTAACTGGAACATGGGGCTGACAGCTGCCTCTTCTCCTCAATGATATAACCCCCCCCCAAAAAAAAAGATTTTCTAGTTAAAGTGCCTAGACTTCCTGTTATCTGGTTTTTAAAAATATTGTCTAGAAATTTTCAACCATTTTGTAAAATCATACTATTTGTAATTTTGATCTGATGAGACAAGTATTAAAAATTTATTGCTGAAATAAATTAGGAATTATAATCTTTTTTGATGATGCATTAAGTTTTTCCTTGATCTATATCATATTCCTCTGTATATTATATATTGAGCTCTCTTTATAGATCTTTTTAGTATTTTATATTAAAAAGACCTACTTGGATTATCCTTTCCACTTATGGATTTTATATAAATATATTATACACACACACAGGTTGGTATACCAGCTGGCATAATCCAGGTGAGTCCTATTAACATAACATAGAATTTGAAATATGTTAAAATTGACTCACAAAAGAGTGCTCAATGTTTATTTTCATTAAACAGAGCAAATTAAGAACTAAAAGGCATCTTATATATATATATATATATATATATATATATGCACACATACAATATACAGGGTGTCCCTAAAGTCTGGGCACATAGGAAATCTCATTAGCTATTTTTTTTTACCTGCACAGATTAAACATGGTTTTGTCAAAATAAGAAAGAATGTTTCAAAATTGGTGGCAATGCGGATTGATTGCATCGAGTTCATGTGAATCTTGCAAAGCACACCAACCTTTGCAACACAAAAGATGGAAATTGTATTGAAGATGTCATTTGTTAATATTGCAATTCAATAAAATGTTGCTGAAAATATAATTTCTTAAAAATATGCATTATTATGTGGACACCCTATATACTACACATGCGCACAACAGTATAAGTTTCAGTACTGGCATTATGCCTTAAATTATTCAAATTTGTATTATTATACGATGTATGTGTCATATAACGGTCATCTGCATGTAAATTGGAATCAGCAACCAGAATTTAAAATTTTGGCATTATCTGTTGCATTCACTGTCACACAAATGCCCATAGGAAAAACCTGAATCCACCTCTTCTATGCCCCCAATTCACTGATAATAAAATGTAATCTTTAGAAAAGATAAAAGGACATAACATTTAAAAGAAAGATAGAAAGGGAGATAGGAGAAAGAAAAGAAGTGGGAGAAAGAAAGAAAATGATAAAAAAGAAAGAAAAGATAAAAAAGAAAGAAAAGAAAAGATAAAAAAAGAAAGAAAAGAAAAAAAAGAGAAAGAAAGAAAATAAATAGGAAAAAGAAAAATGATAAAGAAAAAAATCTGTTGTTTTTGGTAATATATTGCTTAAATTAGACCAAAATATTGTAAAACAAAACCGAAAGATGGAATTCCTGAAATAAAAGAAGTATTCTTACTTGATGGTCTTCATAAGCAGGATTGTAGGAAGCTCCAGGATGTGGCACTATCACTGCTGGCAGTTCAGATGGTTTTTTGGTATAAGTGTTTGGGGTCTAAAAAAGAATGATAAACGAATCTCATAATTTTTCCCTTATTTAAAAGAAATAATAGATATTAAACATAATTTTAGCTTCAAGAAGAACTTGAAGTTGAAACCAAATTGTAGAGTAATTGGCCATGGTTAAGTGAAATGCTCAACAGAATTGACAAAGTTTCCAATAAATAATAAGCAAAAGAACAGATCAAATTAACACTAAATATATATATATATATATATATATATATATATATATACACACACACACAAGTCAAAATGAGATAAAGCAACATTAATAAGGCCAAAAGTCTACAGTGTAAGAATGGTGTTCACATGCAAAAGAGACAGTCAAGTGATTATAGTGTTCTGACTTTAAGACAAGAACAAAAATCTGGTGGATGATCCATTTTTGTTGGTTAGGAATAAGTCACAATATGCATCTGTATAATTTGTCTATAAATGTAGGGAGGGAGATGTTTTTAACAGGGATTCCAAACACATTGGGACAAGCAAAAATTTTGATTTTTTTGATTTTTTTATTAGAAATGAGCATTTTGTTAGATATATTTAGCAATTAGATTTTTTTTTTTAATTTTAGGTATAAATATTGAATAAATTAATCTGCAGACCATTTTATATGAAAATAATGCCTAATTTCTTATTTTGGAGCATACAAAAAAGGAAAGGAGAATAAAAAATAATTTTGTCTAATACAAGAGAATTTTTTAAACATGGTTTTAGATTCTTAATATATTGTTGAGCGTAAGCTAGTCGTAACCACAAACTTATCTAAGACAGAAAAGAAATTTTCAATGAGTTGTGGTCTTTAACCTTTATCACTCTGTATGTGATTTCATTTGCTGTACAAAATATTTATCCTGCAACTGAAGGTAACTCTGATCCCTGAACAATAGTGTATTTGAATTTCATAGATGTGTTGTGATATCCTGCTATGGCAACAGAACACAACTTTCAGTTAGATTAACAGTAAGGATACTGTAATTTAGTGCCCTTGAAATAGAATGCAGTAGAAAGGGAAGTAATATTAATAATGTAGTGTGCTAGAGGTTAAAGGGAAGATAGCAGAACAGACAACAGTTTCAGCAAGAGGCAACCTGCTTATTCTGAAGAAAGGACCTCAAAGATGCAGCTGCTTCTTGAAAGCTTATTTTTTTTTTTTTAAAGAGAGTTTAAATTAGATATAATAATGAGTTAGTGATAGAAGTCTTACTAATTAACTCATATCTGTGGAGAGAGAAGGGGTGGATTCATACCTTTCCCAAGGGTATTTGTATATAAGTGAATATAACAGACCCAACTGGAATTAGAACTCCCCGATTAACAATTCTGAACCATTATTCCTTACACCAGTCGCACATCCAAGCTTACAGCACCTGGTATTCCCAAAGAGTCACCCACCTAGGTACTGACAGTGTTTCAACATGATGTAGCCGTAAGCACTATACTATTGTTCACCCAATACAAAACCCAAGAGCCACTCGAGGTAGAGCATTAATAAGTTTGTTGTATGGGTGTAAAGAGAAGTAAGTGAATATTAAGAGGATATATATAATAGATAATGATTGAATCTAGACTTGAGGAGGTTACAGTCATAATGATTGGGGAAACATCCTCTCAGGAGTTTGTTCCACAAAGTAACAGTCCAAGAGAAGAAACCGAGTGGAACCTCCTCCTTATTACTCTCATCTTTGTTATAGATGATATTATAGACACAACATTTCGATAGAGTACCCACTTCTCATCTTCAGGAATCCATTATTTGGACTATATTGGATAACTTATATGTTATTTCCATCCTTGTAATGCTGGTTTTTATTTGTTCCTTCAAAATCAGAATGCATACAGTGGATATAAGTGTTGAGTTAGTCAAGCGCTGCAGTCATGTAGTGGTTTCGAGTTCAATCCCTGGATTAGGCAGTGAAACAATATATACACTGATTTAGGAGTAAGGAACAAGAACCAGTATATGAGGGACAAAAAAGAACAATTACCTTTATCAATCAGATCAAAGTGTGATTAATAAAATTAAAAAAAAAATAAATAAAAATAAAATTTACCTTTACTCTTTTTTTCTTTGTGTATTCTAAGTAGAAAGGATCCTCACCTTCATTTTCATCTTTGAAATCTAAAAATAAACAAGTCTGTTAATAAAATTTCTCACTTCATGCAACATAAACTTAATCCTAAACAGCCCAAGTTTCTTTTAGCATTTCATTTCAGGGATGAGTAATTGTCAATATACTCATTATTTCTAACCATTGTTCTCATCTTGGTTGGTAGAAATACTATTATAGACAACATTTCAACTAAGCACACTCTGCTCATCATCCAGGGTCCAGTGATTCAGTAGGAATAAATTGACATCACAGGGACAAAATATCACAATAATTAACAGATATCCCCTACCAGCCAACCTTTGACATTGTGTCTATAATAACATCCAAAGCCATTTCCATGTACATGTCCACAATGACTAGTCACAATGGTGAACTCATTACCAAACCTTCCTCTTGTTGGTTATGTGAGATTCTAGTTGTAAAACTATTCTCTATATATACAGAATGTCAACATTTCTATCAGATTATCTACTGGAATATTCTTGTGTTATTTCAAACTATTGTGTTCTCACTTTGGCCGATATAGATGTTATAGACAACAATAAGCAACCCTATCTAGATTTAAAACTGAAAAGGTTTTCCATTTCTCTGAAGCAGATGTCAAATATAGGAGAGCATTATCGCCTTCTCTATCTTCCCTTTCTTATCCTATTAAAATTGTGTTTGTTCCTCCCTTTGTTAATTCTCCCCACCAATATCTCATAAATAATGGCCTATTCCATGTTTTGATCGCATGGAGAGGGGGGAAAAGACATTACTTGAAATGAAAAAAAGAGGGGAAGATAGGTGTGGAGAGAGAATCAGATTAAGCTGATAAGTACAGATATTACACTTCGATTCCAGATAAAAGTCTGAGAAGCAATGGTGACCACAATAAAAAGTGTCATTTTTCAGACACACAGTATGGAATGACAGAAATTGAATAAGGTAATTGGGGAAAAAAAAAAAATCGTTTGCTGAATTTTTAAAAAATTATTAAGAGAATTTTTTATTAGACAGGGATTTAGCTATAAAGGAAGATAAAGATGTTAAATGCCTCCTGCCAATACCTCATAAATAACAAACTATCCTGTTTTGATCGCATGGAAAGAGAGGAAAGACACGACTTGGTTTCAGTGAGAAAATAAAAGAAAGAAAAAATAAAGATGGGAAGTAAAAGTGTTTAACAACATTTTCAGTGAAATGGAAAATGTCAACTTCAAATCCTTTCATTTGTACCCCCTTACTTCTTAAAATAATGACCAATATTCATATGTATGATTATTATTGCAATATTTTGTTAAAGTTGTTTGGTTCAAATATTTAATGATGCAATAGGGGAATTTCAATAGATATTTTATGGTCATAGAACTTGCCATGAGCTTATTCAAACATTAGCTTAAGAGTTAAGAATTAAGATTCACCAGAAATTTTAAATAGGTAAACAAATTTTCATGTGTCTTTCTAGTTATTATTATGTATGCTTTCTTTTTCTCATTAAAACTGAATAGTATCTTTAGTTTTTCCTTGCAATCAAAACAGAATGGTTCATTGTTTATCTCCAGCAATGACAGGGTGTAACATATGTGCTAATTAGCTTACTAATGGAAAAACAAGCAGAATTATCATTTAATACTGAAGGCATAAAGGTCTACTTACTATCCCAAAGATCAAAATCAATGACACGAAGCGACCGGCAAGAAATTTTCTTCTTTTTTAGTTCCCGAACAGCTTTTGCCCGTCGTGCAATGGTCTGAAGTTCTTGTTTAGTTGGACCTTTCTCAGCCAAACGTTTCATCTTAAACACTGGCTTTCTTTGAACAGTTCTGTTTGGACTATTTGAAAAAAAAAAAAAAAAAATTATTTACATTGTTCGGACTGTTGTCCTCATCATTATTGCCATATTCATGACATTTCAACCGTTGTACATTCAGGCCTTCTTCAGGTGATTGGAATTTCAAACTGAACCCTTTATTTAGTATACAATGGCTAAAACATTGTGAATATGGCAATAAAGGTGAGAGTCCGAACAATGTAAATAATTACAATTCCTCATCTCAGATATATAGACAGAAAAAAAATTGTAATTATCAATAAACAATTTTTTTTTTTTTTAAGATTCCCATGTGACCGATGCAGACATAACAATAAGAAAATAGAATGCAACTGACTTATGATTTATACAAATTATATTAATCAACATTACAAATGTGTCCTTGCAAACTTAATGGTATCTGCAACCAAACTTATCTGCTGAGGGTGAGTTAATATTCTCGCCATCTATGGACTCTGTGGTCATTTCAAAGGTTGAACCAAGAGTAAAGAGTTGTTCAAAAAATGTTGAAAAATGCACCAATCAGGAATTGTGAGCTGATTGGCTAACCTTAAACTACCAAGGGCAGATAATCATATATCTTATTTTGCATGTATGAAAGTGAATTGGTACATTTTTTTGTTCTTGAGAATTTACAACAAAAATATTAAAATCAGGGCTGTGGAGTCAGAAGCAATTAAGGGGTCACTGGAGCTGAAGTTAGTAAAACTATTAAGACTCCAAATCTAGTTGAATTTACACTTCATGTAAAAAGTCTTACATTATAGAATTTTTATTGTTATTTCTTCTGCTGTATATTTACTATTTATTTCCTTTAAAGAAATTCATCTCAACTTCTTTTTTTTTTTAAGTAAATTTATTTTTTGTAGTTATTTTGTATTTGCAAAACTATATATGTAAAAAAAATAAAATCTTACATTATAGAATTTTTATTTTTGTTATGTCTTACATCCTGTAAAAGATTATATTTCAACTTCTGTTTTATTTCTGTTCTGTGCTTATTTCTTATTTTGATTATATATATATATATATATATATATATATATATATATATATATATATATATATATATATATATATATGTGTGTGTGTGTGTGTGTAAAAGTCTTATTCCAGCATTTTTACTTTTATTATTTCTTCTATATCCTTTCAAAGATTCTGTGTCTAATTCTGTTAGAAAATATTGAAGAATGAATAGGTATGATATAAAAGCCACAATATCTTTATTCATTGATCTAAACCAGTTATAATGATATAGGCCTACTAAAGTTAGGAGTGTATGCATAGGCTTTATGAGATTTGTAGGCCATAATCACTTAATTACATAAAGAGGAGTTGGAGGTGTCAAAAATAGAGGAGTCAAAGGTTGTGTGTTCCAACTCCATAGCTCTGATTAAAACACTATTTATTTATTAGATTATTTATTTACAGGAATAATTTTTGATGTTTTGTCAACCATTCTAATAAACAATATAATAAATAGTGTAAATAAACAATATAATGAATAAATAGTGTTCATTATTTTTGTTGTGACTTCTCAAGAACAAAGAAAATATATAAATTCACTTTCATATGTTGTGGTTTTATTACAATTCTAAAAATAGCTTTTTAAAAACAATGAACATAACTGTAGATTCACTCTTCAGCAATCTTTATTAAAATTGTCATTGGGAAAACTGGCCATTTGACATTCCATTTTTTTTTGTTTGCAAGCATAAAAGTCTATGTTTGCCCTTGTCCTAATGAGGGTTATATAAAAAACAAAAAATTATTTTATTATCTTGTTAAAATTAAAATGCCATCCCTCCAGGTCCCTTGAACACTTACTGCCACCCTCCTTGAGGCTTCATAGTGAATCGGTTAGCCTAAAATCTGAACTGAATGTTTCATGAGCTTATGGTTCAAGTTTTGCTTGTATCTTTTAATTCAACGGAAATAACTTGCAAGGACGTGTGCAATCATAGCTTTCACACAGCCTCAGATCTTTTGTTAATCTAATTTTTTTTTTTTTTTTTTTTACTTATTATCTTCTCTCTTCCTGTTCTGCTATCCATTACCACAAACTCATTAGATAGGTTACTTATTATTCCCTTTTTCTCATGTCTTGGAGAAACAGAATCAGGAATGAGGTGCTAAGACGTGAAAATTCTGGAAACTTTATTGTAATGGTGGTAGATAGACATTATCACTGGCCATATCCTGTTACTACCTGACAATTGACCAGTTGTTCTGAACTGGGTGCCTCAAAGCTGCAAAGAGGTTGTCCTAAAGTGACATGGTGCACTATACTTAAAAAAGAACTGGGAAAAAGAAACAACTGGTGTCAGGATTTGTGATTTGTCCAAGAACAACCGAAGTGGGGGAAAATTATGACCTTTTGCTATACAACAGGAAGCAAGATAAAGGCTACTGCCTACTGTATATATCCCAGAAATATCGATTGTCCCTTTCTGGTTGTAAGTATAAGTTCCTTGTAGTTCCTATTTTCCTTAAAACTTCCTCATTGCTCACATGTTCTGTCTATGGTATTCTTTGTTGGTAGAAGTACATCACTGTCACTTCTTCAAAGACAGAACTTAATGATTGACATTGCATTTAAATTTTTAAAGATCAAAGTTGACTGGAAAGCAAGAAACCTGAAGAGGGTTCCACCAGTGAAAAGTGCAAGAGAAGAAACTGTTAACATAGAACTTACAGCTGCATCTAGCCATTTCAAATGTAAAATGATAAGATCTTGCTGCTAATCCAGTACTGCACTTGAATTCATAAAGTCAAGGTAGCAATGAGGAAATCTCAGAACAATTAGCATGAAAATATCTTCCTTTTCTATGTTGGTTTTCCAATTATAGAATAAAGAAACCTCAAAAATCTATTCTCAAGGGAATTAATTATTTATTTATTTATTTGAAAGAATATGCCCATTTACTTTTATCTGACAAGAATGTCCCCAAGACTCTTCACAAAAACAATTATACTTTGACAATATATATATGATTACAAAACAGCCATTGACTGCAAATTGTTCCTAACCTTCTAGTTGCTAACACATGATGTTAAAAGCATAATCCAAAGAGGACTTATTTTGTATGTTGCCTTCAGTGAACAAAAAAAAAAGATTTTTCTTATTCCATCATGGCACAGAAATTAAGCAGTTATGAAGAAGATAATTCTATGAAAAGAGCAAAATACTTGCATAGTGGGAGGCTGAACTTTGTCATCTGGTTGAAGATGGCTGTAGCATTTGAGGGGCTTATCAAGTTTTCGCAATCTTCTCCTTTCAATGGCTACCAAGAAAAAAAAAACAAACCCCAAAACATTAATTAACAGCATTCTTTCATACATAAATCAGATTAATAGTGACACAAAAAGGCAATAATCTACACTCTTGTTGTCCTAATTATCTATTGAGTATTTTGTAGACAAAAATTCTGCTGGGCTTAAAAATATATTAAATTCTAGTAATTTTAGAATTGAAAATGCAAAATGTATTGGAACACTTTGAAATTTTTTATGTCTGGTGTTTCAATGTGTGATATTTACAAACAATAGTGATGGATAGGAGGAGAAGGGATAAGAGGAGGAAAAGAAGGATAGAAGGAGGAAGAGGAGGAAAAGAAGGAAGGACGAGAGGAAGAGGATAAAGGATAAGAGGAGGAGGAGAAGAATAAAGGATAAGAGGAGGAGGAGGAGAAGAAGAATAAAGGATAAGAGGAGGAGGAGGAGAATAAAGGATAAGAGGAGGAGAAGAAGAATAAAGGATAAGAGGAGGAGGAGAATAAAGGATAAGAGGAGGAGGAGAATAAAGGATAAGAGGAGGAGGAGAATAAAGGATAAGAGGAGGAGGAGAAGAACAGAGGAGCAAGAGGAGAAGAAGAGAGGAGACGGAGGAGCAGGAGGAGGAGAAAGGATAAGAGGTAAAGATTTTTCATGCAGTCTTCATTGCAGGCTTTGTCTAGTTTTGTTATTCCATTGAACTTTAGATATATCTATACAATTAAATACTTATTTGTAAACATATAAGAAATTATTTCCCTAATATCCCCTGCTACAATGCAAAGGGACTTATATGCTTTCAAATATGGCTTAAGTATAAATAAAGCAAAGAAAAAAAAGTATCTCTTAATAGCCCCAATCAGCTATTCCAATGTGACTCACCTGAAATTTTCTTTGGTTTCTTATCAACAGATTTGTCAACAAAGAAGAGATTTTCATTTTTTTTATTTTCAAGAATTCCACTGAAAAACAAATTTTGAAAATTACATAATTTTTTGTCATATCAAACATGAATATAATGAACAAGTCCATAAAGTTGTATCTCACAAAAGTATACATCAGGCTCAGTTAATGCACAATACAATAGTTTTCATTTAAAACGTTATATTTATACAGCACTACTGAGTCTCCTGCATTTGGCAGCAGATTCATATATTTTTTTCCTATTAATATCTCTCCCAATCTACATGAGTTATTTTTCATTAATCTCCTACATCTATTTTTGGTACATTGGTTAGCATGTAGAAAATAACTATGGGAAAGGCCATTGTGAGCAACGTGGGAGGAATTAAAGATTCCTCCCACCTCAGCAGCAACTATAGTGTCACTGAGCAATGTGAATACACCCACTCCAAGGAATGCAAAAACTGCAAAGGTCTGATTTATAGTGTGAATAAACTTTGATGTTTCTGAATTTCTATATTTTAAAGCAGCTTTTCGTAAGTTTTTCAGGCTGCCTTATCATGGGGAAATGGTTAATAAGTCTAGTCTGACTGGACATTATTATGTGGTGAGTTGTTCCATTCAAAATTCAACATTAAATAACCTGACAGCCTAAAGTTGACATGTTGTAAAAACAAGCAACTAAGTAAAAAAAAATATATATATAATGAAAGTGTGTGTGTGTGTGTACACCCTGCTTGCTACATCCTGATATTTTACAGACAGCTGAAAGTTTTAAATAATCTGAAGTTCAAAACGGTGGAGTAATAGATAGGCGGCTTGGATTGAGGAATCAGAGAGCCAAGTTTGAATTCCAGTCGAATCAATTACATTCACTTACGCACTAATACCCTTAGGAAAGGTATGACCCCCCCCCCCCCCGGCTATGGATAAATAACAGGACAGACCAGGTTCTATAGCCTTGGATGGCAACTGGTCTACTGCAGAAAGAAATGGCAACCTACTGTTGGAAAAAATATGTCTTGTCAGTCATGTATTGAAAAATACAAGATCGCCTAAGTGTGTATCACATATGGTATATAAGTGACTGACTTTTGGCCCTTCCAGTCATTACCAAGAATCATGTGCTGTCCATGTGGTAGGCAAGGTCATATTGTCTACTTCCTAGTATTTTATAATGAGCTGACAAACATGAATTTTGGACAGTTTATCCACAATTTTGGAATGTTTAAAATGTATGAGTATGAACATATTTTGTTTGGGGGATTTGATTTTTGTTTTTTATGGCTTATCAACTCTTTATGGCTTATTTAAACCTGAATCATATTTTAGATTGCAAGAGTAATTCTTTTTCTTTTCAAGTGAATATTATTAACAAGTTTTTTGAGAATAACAATGATCTCCAGATACAAATCCTACGATTTAACCCATAGCTAGGGGATTAGTGGATTCATACTTTTCTCAAGAATGTTTTGCACATCAGTGAATGCAACAAACTTGACTGGAATTTGAACTTGGTTTTCCAACTTCTCATTTCAATACACTATCCATAACACCACCTGCAGATCTTTATAGGAGAATTGGATCATGATGAATTTCAATTAATTTTTTATTCTTAATTTGGAGTGCTTAATAAGGCGAAAAAATAAAATAATGTTTATTTCTGTTCACAGTGCCTATTGTAGAACTCACAAATTTTACCAAGAATATTTTTTATAAGTTCAGTTTTGTGCTTGACAACCATTTTTACCAAACACACAGAAAATGGTTATCTGCGTTTGTACTTTTTTCTCCAAGAAACAATTCTATAATTTCCACACAAAATTGTACCAGCCAGATAAAGTTTTGGAACTATCCCAAGTTCCTTCTACACATTCTTGGGATACTCAGTAGAGGTAAACTTTTTACTGCCACTGTACTGTATGTGCTGTAGTGTAAACGGTCACCAAACCCAGTTTTGTACTAATTATACGATGACCAATAATGATGCAATGAGTTATAGTCGGTACTCGTCAAATATTATGGTCCGTGTGTATGATCACACAAACATCCCAAAAATTAGAGCAGCAACCATACGTAGGGGAAGACCTGACAAGTCCACAGCCAGTAATAAATAAGGAACGAATAAAAAATAGCCATTTTTACTTTTAAATGAAATCGGGGTGATGAAAGGGTTAAAAGGGGACTTACATTTGCCTGACTGCGAGGCTAAATTATTCGCATGTTTCTGTGACGTCACATGGACCAAAGTACTTAATTTGTACCAATATAAGCTCAAAAGCGGTATTATTAAATAAATTTATTTATTCTAACTTTTAATGATGATTTCGAACGAATCCGAAGATTTACTAAAATCTGATTGGTCACTCTAAAAACAAAAAAAGTTAAATTTAATTTACTTTTGTAATAAAAAAACAAAGCATATTTTAACAATAAATAACTTAAAAATAAATGTTAAAAAAATATATATAGAAATATAAAACACGGAGCGACTGTTGCAGAGTTCGATCCTCACTAGGTTGTTGGCTAGTTTATTTTACCGTTTCTGACATATCGACCCTTTTTGGTTTGGGTTATATAATGTCGAATTTTGTATGAGGCACCCAGTGAGGATTGAACTCACTAGTAATAGTCAACCAGACTAGCCACTCTACCCATTACCCCACACGGAGGCGTTTCCCTGATTCAGTTGCTTCCTCACTTGGAAGATTGACGCAAAATAACCTTCCTACCCTCCACCAATTGGTTTTGCGGCAGACTTGGCTGATAAATATATAAACGCGTTTTTCCACTGGGGCAAGTAGCAATGTTCGGGTCCAGGTAAAAGACAAAACTTCGAAAGCAGATTTTCAAGGTAAGATCACTACAAGCACTGACGAAATTAGAATCTTTCTACTCTGCAATATTTTAACACCGTGTCAGGCTGTATATAACTTTATTTAACGTGTGGCACCTCATTAGGATATTGATTTTGTGAATAAAAACCGACATAAAAGATTTTTTTTTTAAAACTTGAACCACGTGTCGAAAAAGACACACACACACAAAAACCTGTAAGCCAACCATTTTAAATTGTTTGACATACTTAAGATTAAAATAATTATATACTTACCCAGTACGTTCCTGGTGCCTAACATCGTCCAAATATTCTTCCACATCTCGAATATCGGTCTTTCTCCAGGACTTCTTTTTATTTTTTCCTGTATGAATCCTCCTTTTCTTGGTAGACATGATGCTAACCATATTGGGCGACATTTACAAGAGGAAGTAGATCTCGATTACCTCCCTTAGCTGAAAACACTTAACTTCCGGTCCTTGTTCCCCCCCCCTTTTTGAATAAAACTCGCCATGTGGAACGACATCGCCTGCTAAATAATACACATATAAAAAGGTAATTTTTTTTTTCTTCAGTCTCCAACTTACTATTATTAATATTTTGTTAAATAAAGTTACTACGCTTCTAATATCTAAGATAGGCGAAAAGTTTCGCTGATAATTTAAATTTTCATCTTTGAAGTTATTGAATTTATTTGTTTTTTTATTTACTTTTGTACTTTTTTTTTTCTTTTGGCGACAATAAATCCTGGACTTTTAAAAAGATTTTCTCTTTAAAAAGGAAATACAGTAATACATTTTTTCTCACAATAATACTGGTTGTAAAATAAAGGATTTTTCTTTTCTTTTTTTTTATTCTACTAGGTGCTAAATTGATGTGGCTCGTGACTACAGACGATAGGACAGGAAGAAACTGATTTCATATATATATATATATATATTAAAAAGGGTAAGAATTCTTACTAGTTTTTTTTTTTTTATTTTTAATACTTGTACTTTTTTTTTTTTTTTTTTTTTAAATGTTTTTTGCTAAAGTTTAAAAATTTTATAATTTCCCCTCTTCCATGAATGATACTTTTTTTTTTTTTTTAAATTTACTTGTATTAATTTTAGTAAAGCCTTAGTTTTACGCAAGCCCTTTCACTCAATTTTAGAGGGAAAGAATTTTCAAGTAGTTCATGTTCGCAGCTTAAGGATGTAGAATTTTTAAGTTTATTTCTTTTATTATTGCTTTAATAAATCTGTATTTATTTTTGCTTTCTTCCCATTAAGAAAAAATTTCAAACTTTGCATTTCTTTATAAAATTAAGGATTCGTTACAACTTGTCTATTTTCTTTTTTCTTCAGACGTTGAAAATTTATTAAAGACAGGTAAAGAAATCAACTATTTTTTTTCTTTTAGAAAATAATATAAAGGCAAGATTCGGACTGCCCCCAAAAAATCTATGAAGAAATCTCTAACTAGATTTCTTTTAAATATTTCATTTAATTCGGGTTAAAATTAAAAAAAAAAAAAAAAATCTACCGTAAGTTGTCCAATAGAATTTGTAATTGTATAATTTTTTTTTTATTTATTTTTCAACTGGGAAAATAAAAAGCAAATATTTTGCAACTTCAGCACCCCGAGTTACAAATTATATCTATAAAACTTGTAAATTTCTCTTATTTTTATACTAATAATAAATATACATTTTGTTACTAACGGTTCATACAAACACATAAAAGTACAATTCTTGTGTTTGATAATTCTTGATATTTATTAATTTTCTAAAAAAAAAAAAATGTATATTTCTACTAGAATTGATTTAAAATTGACTATTAATAATTCAGGGCTATTATTAAACATGCCAACAAAGTGACACTAGGGGACTAATATGCAAAGACCAATAAACCCATCATAACACCCAGTCTAATAAGAAGGGTATATGATGGTTAGTTTTTTTTTTTTGTTTTTTTTTATAAAAGCAGTGCATAACCTTGCAGGTAGGACCCTGATAAAAATACCTTCAGGCCTGATAACCCACTCCATTCAGTTTCTGAATGAGACTCTGGAAGTATCTTGATGTGATTTCCAAATTGTGTGAGCAGCCACATCCTTCAAACTTTATTATAAAAAACAAAAAAAAAACACAGTCTGGATGCTCCCACACATGAACAAAGATGCACAGTATTTCAGCCTCTAGTAGATGTGCCCAATGGTTATGGTCAGAGAACAGATCTGTGGTACTGAATGAGATATTTACTGTAACCATTTTAATTTAACAAGACAAGACACATACGGGTTAACACATGCAATAGGTTATGGTTGGACTCAGAATTACTATGTCACTAAACTCCCAAACTATCATTGTAATCCACTAGTATATTGTCTGGTGGGACAATCCTGAGTTTAGAACTTAGCATCTTAAACCTTCTCTGCTTGCTACTGATTGTCATTGAGGCTTCTCTTTTATTACTGCTGCTCTTGTTTAAGCCTTGCTATCATTTATTTTTCATATTGTATTTATTTCTTTGCTAGGCCTACTAAGCAGGTCCTCATAGTCTAGCATGTGTACTGATTCTTTCAGTTTAAATAATGTAAATAAGTTTTAATCCCAGAAATTATCAAATTTTCTATGTGTGTGTGTAAAACATAGTTAGATATTGTAATTTTATTGCCAGTTTAACTTCAGCATGCCTGGCTAGTCAACTGAAAAGAAAAACTATAAGGTTATCAAGATAAGGCTACATCTGCATGGATCTGACGGTCTGCTGGTACTGTGAGGTGCTGCTGGGTACCCTGGGCTAGTGGTGATATTTCCACGTCAAAACCATGATTAACCACAGTAATCATCTGAGGAAAGTTTTGCATGTAGTGCTGCTGTAAGGTAAAGATAGAATAAATAAAGGGTGATAAAGCAAAGGAAAAATGCAAATAAACAGGGAGAGAAGAGTTTATATATATTTTTATATATATATATATATATATATATATATATATATAAGTTAGGTAGACTGGTTGGATATAAAGAGACATTGAGCCAAAGATTTAGATGCAGGTAAATATGGAAAGATATATAGAAGTGATGATACATTAGCATTATTTATGAAAAGTTAGAATAAAAGAAAACCTGAATGGGCAATAAAGATTGTCAGGGAGAAGGGTGTGGATGGGAAGATACAGGCAGAGGTATGTGAGAATGATAATCTTGAGGAGCAGAGTGAAATGGCAAGTAACCTACTTTTGTGAGATTCTGTAAGTGGATGGTAATCTCCAACTATGATAAAGTTAGCAATTATATAAAGTGCTCAATGGCCTTATAAAAAGTGAGATAAATGAAGAATTTAAAAAAAACAAACTCTGACAGCTCAAATTTCACTCAAAAATGAGGACTTGTCAGGCCAGGTTCACTCTTTCTCTGCCACATACATACATATATATATATATATATATGGGAGGGGGAAGAAGTTTGATAAAGTTGAAAAGGTTTTCATGTGACATGTTTCATCCTTTAGGACTTCGTTGGACTAAGTTTGTTGACGCGACCAAACACTAGGAATTTTTCTTTGTTTCCATCACTTTTGTTATCAAATATCTCACATTGCTATAATAGAAGTTCTGCCAAGAATGGTGAAACATAAGAACCTGGATGCAAATTTACTGTGGATGATCTAGTGATTAAAGCACTTTCTAAAAATTTTAATCTTAGTAAATTGTTTTCTCTTTTAGTTTGAGTAGCATTTTTTTTTTAAATCCAAGTTGAGGTCTGTCTCATTGTGAGTAACTAATGCTTTTAATGTTTTGTAAAAGTTCACTTTTATGTTCATCTAATCTTTCATTTAAATTTCTTGTGGTTTATCTGATGTATTCCTTGTGGCAATTATGACGGGCAATAGTAAATTCCTCCAATTTTTAGCTTTTGTTTTGTATGAATTATTTTATTACATCTTACCTCTAGAATTGTTCTTGATATATATAATTATGCCAAATTGGGGAAAAAGATTTTGTGGTGTGTTTCATCTGTTAAGATTTCATCGGACTGGGCTTGTTGTTAATGACATGTCTCCACATGCACAGGAAATGAGACACTAATAGTCTTAAAATTTTTGAAAGAATATCTTTTTCAATCCAGCCAAATTCATTCAAAAATTTTGAAACTACCACCATCTCTCATTTCATGCACATGTGTAGACATGGCAACATCAAAGCTCAGTCCAATGAAATCCTAATGGATGAAATGCACCACAAAATCTTTATAATTTGTCATACTATTTTTCTGAATACTGTTTGTTCATATGTAAAATATAAATTATATATATATATATGTAAAATATGTAATATATATATATATGTAAAATATGTAATATATATATATATGTAAAATATATATATATATATATAAAATATGTAATATATATATGTAAAATATATATATATATATATGTAAAATATGTAATATATATATATATATATATATATATATATGTAATATATATATATATATGTAAAATATGTAATATATATATATATAAAATATGTAATATATATATATATATGTATGTATGTATATATATATATATAAATATGTAATATATATATATATATATATGTAAAATATGTATATATATATATATATATAATATATATATATATATATATATAATATATATATATATATGTAAAATATGTAATATATATATATATATATGTAAAATATGTATATATATATATATATATATGTATATATATATATATGTAAATATATATATATATATATATGTAAAAATATGTATATATATATATATGTAAAATATGTAATATATATATATATATATGTAATATATAAAATATGTAAATATGTAATATATATATATATATATATATATATGTAAAAATATATATATATATGTAAAATATGTAATATATATATATATATGTATAAATATGTATATATATATATATATGTAAAATATGTAATATATATATATATATGTAAAATATGTAATATATATATATATGTAAAATATGTAAAATATATATATATATGTAAAATATGTAATATATATATATATATATATATATATGTAAAAATATAATATATATATATGTAAAATATATATATATATATATGTAAAATATGTAATATATATATATATGTAAAATATGTAATATATATATATATAAAATATGTATATATATATATATGTAAAATATGTATATATATATATATGTAAAATATGTAATATATATATATATGTAAAATATGTAATATATATATATATATATATATATATATATATATATATATGTATATATATATATATATATGTATATATATATATATATATATATATATATATATATATATATATATATATATATATATATATATATATATATATATATATATATATAT